TGGGAGACTGTGTCGAAGGCTTTGCTGAAGTCCAGGTATACAACATCCACAGCCTTTCTCTCATCTACCAGGCGGGTCACCTGGTCGTAGAAGGAAATCAGGTTGGTTAGGCAAGACCTGCCTTTCATGAACCCATGCTGACTGGGCCTGATCCCCTGATTGTCCTCCATGTGCCTGGTGACCATACTCAAGATGAACCTCTCCATAATCTTCCCCGGTACAGGCTGACTGGTCTGTAGTTCCCCAGATCCTCCTTCCAGCCCTTCTTGAAGATAGGCATCACATTTGCCAACCTCCAGTCATCTGGGACCTCCCCTGTTATCCAGGACTGCTGATAAATGATGGAGAGTGGCTTGGCAAGCTCCTCTGCCAGCTCCTTCAGCACTCTTGGGTGGATTCCATCCGCCCCATAGACTTGTGGATGTCCAGGTGGCATAGCAGGTCAAAGACTGCTTCCTCCTGGATTATGGGGGGTTTATTCCACTCACTGTCCCCATCTTCCAGACCGGGAGTCTGGGTACTCGCAGCTGAGTAGTAACTTCCTTGACAATGTAACTCCAATTCATTAAGTGATTGTGGGGAGGAGGGGACATTCATTTGGTAGCACATCTTTCCATGTGAAGACAAGGAAAGAAGGGACCCATAGCAATGGAAGGAATAAGGCTGCTGGAATTTTCCAGCTCAGAAGCGTTTTATCTCATGTAACTTTCTTGTAGTAGTTTGGTACCAGGCTTAACCATGCAGCTTTAAAACAGGCCAGATTAGCCTGTAGGTTCATGCTGTTGTGCTATAGTGTCTTGCAGGGCAGAAGGCAGAGACAGAGGCTATCAAGAAAACACTGTACACAATGTTCAGCTCCTTAGCTGTTTGGGTTTTTTTCCCCCAGCTTGGACTGTCTCTGCTTGGCATCCAGCAGGATTGCCAAATTGGGTTGGTTGGGGTTTTTTCTCTCCCTGATCTTTGTGCCATAGTCTAAAGAGATGACAGGGAAGAATGCTCTCACGTGGAACTAGGCTTCTGAATTTCCCATTCCCATTACCTTGGGTTTCGCGATTACCCACTTGTGACACGAGCTGCAAGCTCAGCAAACCAGTTCAGGTATGTGGCTGACAGATGAAAGCAAGAGGCTGCATCATGTTCTGAAGGTAACTTTAGTAGGGTCTTTAAAACTTCAGCTTTTCTTTGGGATGCCAGCTCCTATGTTAGCAAGCTTTATATAATTTAGCAGGTTTTATATAATTTACATATCTGTAACAATTAATGATTATTTTACTGTTTGCTGAAAACCTTGGGAAATTAATGTGTGGAAAGATAGATTGTCTGATCTGAAAAAAAAATTAAGCTTATTTCCATATTAATACAGATGGTGGTAAAAATCTGCAAGAATCAAGAGGAATTATCATTTTAACATGAGGAGGTAAACCTAGAAATAAGAGAGGAAAAAAAGTTTAAAAAAAAAAAGGAGGGAAGAAGCGGCCAAAATTGGGAAAAAAGCTGAACTGGATTTCTTACGCTTAATCCATATTGTATAAATGCATACAATTTCAGATACAACCCATAATCTGTTACATACAAATTCATAAATGAATGCTGTATGCATACTTCTTTTGTCTGCTCTCAGTAATGAATCAGATCCAGTTCTTGGTGGGTCCCCAAATGAACTGTAATGATCAATACAGTTGTTCTCTGCCAGATGATACAGACAGAGATCGTTTTACTCCAGAGTGGAAGATAAGCTGTATAGATCTATATCCTATTATATATATGCTAACCCTATTCTGTGTAGTTCTCACATCTTTCCATACCTCCAGCCTTTCCCAAACCTACCTGCTCCAGCATCATTCTGTAACAGACAAGTTAGAAATAATTTCTGTGGTCCAGATTACATTAACATTTTAGAATTTTGCTGTATTTGTTTAGATTTCCAGAATTTTATCTTGATCAGCATGGTGCATTCAGTGTATGTTCCTGACCAGAACTGGAACAACTAATCTCTTTTAGTGATATGTCGATTACCAGATGGTGTAGGTGTATACAAATATTGCAGAATAACTAATTGACTTGGTAATAACAAAAGCCGTTTTAAGAGTAAGAAGTTAGTGTTAGAGCCCATCACCTCTCAGTCTGAGACTAGGTTCACAGAGGATCTTAGATGTTGCATAACATTGTCAACTTGGTAGGTGGTAGGCTTTCAGTGGAAGTCACAAACCTGAAATAAGCAGTAGGCTCCCTTCTCCATGCATGAGAACTGGCATCTTAGAGCCAACACATTGCACGGAGCACTGCCTACAGAACATGTTCACCTCGTTGTTGCCATTTCCTGTATCTACCTGTACCTGAGATAGACAGGAAGTGCCTATTTTATGAGTATACCAGAATAAACCAGGACTTCCCTGTGAGCTGCATTCACACCTACTAAGTCTTACCAGACTGAAGTGACCACACCTGGTACCAGAAGTGAATGTACTTTTTTTTTTTTTACTTAACTAGCCTTTGGTGTTTAGGTACTAAAAGATGAAGTGGATATTCTATCAATGGCAGTGGTACTCACATGTTGGAATTTAGCGCCTGAATCCCCTATGTAACTGTAGTCCCAACGCTTTGGAATAACAATCATTTATCATAGGTAAAATAAAATTTCAGGGACTATGTATCAAAAATCAGCATTAAAACAGGAACATAGTTTTAAACTTTACTATAGTCCCACTGTTGCCTGATAACAACTTCATGATGTTTCAGCAACAGTATTTCTTGGAACATTGCTTTCTGAAAGAAAAAAAAAAATTACCATATTATTCATTGAACAGGATACCCCTGTATTTTTCACACACAGCAAACACTGAAAGACAAAGATTTTCTGTAGTGTAATATAAAGTATTTATTATTACAGTATTTATAATATTACATGCTGGGTAAGCTATTAAATATTGTAGCAGAACCCACCTATATTTAAAATGCTTTTCTACTTGATTTTAATGAAAATAAGCCACCATTGATTATGTTCATTTACCCCAGAAGAGTCATAGAAATTAGTGGAAAACAAAAAAACCTGCCTGGACGATGTCCGGTGCAACCTGCTCTGGGTGAGCCTGCTTGAGCAGGGGAGTTGGACTGGGTGATCTCCAGAGGGCCCTTCCCCCCCCTGCCATTCTGTGATTCTGTGATAACATGGCATTTACATAATTTCTTTCACTGTAAAAAGGGAAAAAAAAACCACCCCAAAACTAAGCCAAACCCCATTTCTCCTCCTGAAGGCTTGATTTACTTCCACTTTTGCTGCTCTTCATAATTCATTGTTAGAGCATTCACTCCAGCTGTCCTTCCCCTACTGCCTCAACACCACCATCCACATCAGTGTCTCATATAATTAGTTCTGACTTGGGTTTATCTTTGGGCTTCCTTCACTTCTTCAGCCATTACTCAAATGTTCATAAAATCATAGAATGGTTTGAGTTGGAAAGGACCTTTAAAGATCATCTAGTCCAACCCCACCCACCTTGGGCAGGGACATCTTTCACTACATCAGGTTGTGCAAAGCCCTGTCCAACCTCCCCTTGAACACTTCCAATGCTGGGGCATCCACAGCTTGTCTGGGCAACCTGGTCCAGTGTATCACCACCCTCACTGTAAAAAGTTTCTTCCTTATGTCCAATCTAATCCTGCCCTCTTTCAGTTTAAAACCATTGCCTGTCACTACAGGCCTTGGCAAAAAGTCTTTCCCCATGATTCTTGCAAGTCCCCTTAAGTATTGAAAGGCTGCCATAAGGTCTTCCCAGAGCCTTCTCTTCTCCAGACTGAACAACCCCAACTCTCTCAGCTTTTATTCATAGCAGAGGTGTTCCAGCCCTTGGACCATTTTCATGTCCCTCCTCTGGACCTGCCCTAACTGGTCCGTGTCTTTCTTGTACTGGGAACCCCAGAGCTGGACGCAGTACTGCAGGTGGGGTCACATGGGAGCCAAGCAGAGGAGGAGAATCACCTCCCTCAACCTGCTGGCCACGCTTCCTTTTGTTGCAGCCCAGGATATGCTTGTCTCATATCCAATTTTTCATCCACCAGTACCCTCAATCCCTTCATCCCCCAGCCTGTATTGATACTGGGGGTTGCCCTGACCCAGGTGCAGAATCTTGCACTCGGCCTTGTTGAACCTCATGAGGGACACCTGGGCCCTGACTATGTCTAAATACATTCAAATAACAGACTATTTCAGTTTTCTGTAATTTTTTGCAATAATTCAAATGAGGAATATGAACTGACAGTATTCATTGTTCTCATGGTATGGGACCAAATAGCATGTCTGGTAAGAGTGGAAGGCAAAAGGATTTAGGTTCTCTTTCCTGTTGGTTTGTCCAGAGGAAAGTAGTACATTGTTCCATGCAATGAATAAAGCAATTCCCTTCAGCTGGGTAACTGTCAAATGCCTGTACTATTTTGCTCTCACTTGCTGTTACTGGCTCAGTTAGGGTGCTGATGACATGAGCTGTACTTCACCTGGTTAGAACACTTCCATATTCACTGCTCATGTTGTTGGGAGGACTTTGATATTGGAAGACTCTGGAGTGCAGATTTACATATGGTTCCATAGGCCTGGGAGTAACTGCCCATTGATGCTTTTGGATCACCAGCAGCTCCCGTATTTGCAGTAACCTGGAACATCTTTTTACTGGACTTCAGGAGGGGATGAATACCTTTGCTGGGAAACTGAGTATTTCTTGGATTCTGTGCGAGAAAGAAAAGCCAAGATAGTTAGTAACCTGTAATCAACTTTCTAAAATACAAATAAGGAACACAGATTATGCTTCAGCTGAGGAATAAGACAGATCATGAATGTTATATGAGTGCTAAACCAGACTGGTTTGTAAGATCAAGAATAGGATGGTGAGAATGTGAGGGAGAAGGGCTTAAGAATGGGTATATCAAGAGTGAGCTAGTGGCACTGGAGCAAGATAGGACAAACTAATCCTGCATTGGAGCAAAAGTCCAAAGGCGTGTTTGGCTACTATCTTGTTTTCAACAGTAGTGAATGCTTTAAAGATATATACAAAAGACAGATCATCATCATCATTCCCCAGTATATCCTCCTGGCTTCTGGCAATCAAAGTGGCCTGGTGACTTTCTGAGTTGGAAGTTGCATTAGATACCGTGTTTATCAGCCCCTGTCAGGAGAAGTTAGTATCTTAAGACACTACACTACATAATACATTACAATACATTTGAATCTGCAGTTAAAGAGGAGAGCCGTTTCACTGCAGCTTATGCTTTGTGAACCTCTATAGTTAACAGAAAGGCAAGAGTTTCCACTCTCTGTTGTGGCACTGGCTGCTGTCACCCCAACCATTATAGGAGTCTTTCCTGGTCAAATGGCTGAGAACAAGAGTTTCACGAGCCTGATAGGATACTGAAAATGAATGCAGACTGAATGCAGAGCAAACTGGAATGTCAGAAATTTTCAGCTCCTGCTGAGGCTGAATGAGAAAAATTGAAAAGTCAACATTCACTTAACATAAGATCAGCCACAATGCTGATCACCTTCTACCACAACATTCTGTCTCTGACACTAGTCAGTATTAGCCTCTCAGGGAACAAATATAAAGCACAGGGCATGTGTAGGGTGATCTTCTCCCTATTATGCTCTTCCAGTAACTGAAAGTTGGCCACAATTACCTTCAAAACGCATTGTTTGTACATCTGCACATGCAGCCATCTCCACAATTTCATATTGTGGAATACATGGTTCCACACTTGTGTAATAAATGGTTCCTCTCACTCTCAAAACATTTTGAATGGGATTCCAAAGCAGAGGGGCTGAAAGATGAGTTGCAAGTGTCCCTGTGGACATACTTGGAAGTTACTGGCAATCATGTCTCTTCTTAGCAGTTATTCATATGTATTTTCCCATCAGTCACATCAAGAAGAGATCCCATAGGAACCAGCTTGACTCTTAACAGTGTCTGCAGCTTGTTTCTAGCTTGAAATGGTTCAGATCATTCAGAGCTGTGTTCAAAGAAATAATTTGCTTTAAGGTAAATGTGATATTACATGCTGACTCAAAGCAGCTGATCCCACCCAACTGATCTTTGACAGTGGTGTCTGTCAGATGTCCCTTCACACAGCTGTGCTCAGCATACATTCTGAATGAGCTCCAGCACATAAACACTTAAGTATTCTTTTGTGGGGATGTGAGAAAGTCTCACGTCAAACAAGTCAATCTTTAGTGTCACAAAAAAGTAATCCATATTATTCCTCTGCCATAAGCTTCCTCTGGATCACCTTGTGTTGGCTAGACTCCCCTTGAGCTAGTCAGCAGACAACTAGCTCAGGAAAAAGAAAAAGCAGGGGCAAGGAAGTCATTTAAGAACCCAGTGAGGATAAGAACTTTTACAAGGAAGCGTGGCCAAGAACAGGGAAGAGGGAGGAGCAGAAAGGAGAGGACTGAAACCTTCACTGTTCAGCAACAGCAGTCCATTACATTGATTCCAGAGGTAGTGAGAATTCTCCAGCTAAGTTTGGAATATCCAACAGTCTCAATTTGGTTAGAAAAGAATTTGCTACCTACACACTTTGGACAGGACAAGCCATCATTGAAGATAATGTAAAAACAACTGATCTGTGATTCTCAAAGGGAGTTTTTGGTGGTGCTGACAATCTGAACAATGTGATAATCTGAAATGGTGTTCAAATCCTCATTTGTCTGAAGTGATAAAATTGAATGTAGAATGGAACCCAAAATTAGCTTGTCCTCTAGAAAAAGGGCAGTGGAAAAAAAGTCATATATCTCAGCACATCTTGTAAGACGCTGCATTAAAACTCAAGAC